GAAAGAACGAAGGCAAGCGGCGCCGCTGTAAGGAGAACGCAGAGCAAACCCTAATTGTTCACAAACCCTAACCAAACATTGCAAACTTAAGGCAACTGGGCCTATCTGGCCCCCAAATCAAAGCCCATTTAATTGGCCAGCGCACCCCCTCCCTCCATTCTTCCCCTCTTTCTCCTCTTATTTTTGTTTTGGGCCTAACCCCAAACTTCCAAATCCTAAGCCCACCTCTTAACTCAATTTATTTTCTTTTCTTTTCTTTTGTTTAAATACTAATGTTTTTTTTAATTAACTCATTTTAATTAATTTGTTTTCTTTTCTCTTAGTTAATAATAATACTAATAATAATTAAAATTTTGATTTTCTTAAATTAGTTTTATTTTCTTCTTTTATTAATTAATCTTGTTTCATTTGATAAAATACCAAAAAAAAAACATTTAATTTGATTTAATTAATTTTGTTTTCTTTAAACTTTTTTTTATTAATAAAAATACAAAATAATAGAAATTTTGTTTAATTAAATTTTCTTCCTTTAAACTTTTTTTATTATTTATTAATAAAAATAAAAGAATAATAATAATATTTAATCTTTCTTTTTTAGAATAGATTTTATTTTCAAGTAAATACATGCATTTCATACTTTATTGATTTCTTCATTTGTTATAAGCTTTGTATTGAATCGCGGCAATTCAATCTGGTTGTAATATTTGGACATTGCTATTCTTATGAGATTCATCCCCATTTGTAATAATTTGTACCCCCATTCCCGAATACTTTTGTAATAACTTAGACTTTTATTATGCTTTCAATTATGCCATGTTAGAGATTAGGGTTTGTATGCAAAAATCCAAAATCAAAACAAAATAGCTTGACTAATACAAAGACAAAAAGCATGTAAATTGACAATACAATACACGCATGCACCCCTAGGGTTTCATCCACTTATTGCCTTTAAAATTGATCATGTTAAGCATGTTGAGTACTTTGGCAAAACAAAAACAAAACAAAAGATCATAGTCCCTCGATGACGCTATCTTGGTTGCCTATACAAAAATGATCTAGTCCCTAAAAAAAATTGCTAAAGATACTTAGCACAATTGCTATCACGGTCAATACGATGACCCGCGCCTGTCCCATTTAACATCCTAAAACAAGGTTGTTTACCAAATGCAATGGTAAAACAACACTGTCAAAAGGGTTAAAAATGTGTAGGAAAGATCTTTGAGTAAAATAGGGTAGATAACTCTTAGTTACTTGACCAAAGCTTGCAAAAACATCTTTGCTATTTTCAAACACACCTCACAACACAATTTCAAAACATTTCCCAAATCAAACTTTCAAAACATTGAAATATCTTTTCAAAAGACAAATACACCTTTGTATACATTCAAACAAGAATCATTACAAAGGTTGCCACAACGATGGCCTCTTTTCAAAACATTTTCAAAACCATACATAAAGCACCATTTCAAACAATTGAAAAGCAGAAGCAAGTGATCTAAACAAGTAACTAAGAGCCATGGATAACCATGGATGAAAAGGGTGCTAGCACCTCCCCTTTTCATAATCTACCCCAGAACCCAAGAAAACATCTCAAAGGTCTTTCCTGTGCTTTTTGACCTTTCCTTTGGATAAAATAAAAAGTCGGTGACGACTCTTGCTAAGCCGAAACATTTGTGAACACAAACGTAAAACCTCAAGTCAGTTCTCATACCGTATCACAGTTTGTCTTGCTTATCTCTGACTAATCCCAAGTATTTTAAAATCGTTGAAACCGATGCTTCAAACTTAGGATATGGAGGAACTCTAAAACAAGTTATACCTGAAACATCCAAAGAAGTTTTGGTTTTATTTACCTTTGGTAAATGGAATCTTACTCAGTCAAAATATTCGACCATCAAAAAATAAATGCTTTCTATTATAAAATGTGTTTCAAAATTTCAAGATGATTTACTTAATAAAATTTTTTTATTACAAATTGATTGCAGCTCTGCCAAATCAATTATTGAAAAAGATGTTAAAATTCTTGTTGCAAAACAAATATTTGCTAGCTGGCAATCTCAACTATCGATGTTTGAATTTGATATTAAACATGTTAAAGGTGAAAATAATTCACTTGCTGATTACCTCACCCGTAAATTTTTGCAGGGAAAGAATGACACCCCCATCTAAGGGAGGAAGAGGCCGCGGTTATGGACGAGGTCTTGGAAGAGGGAGTAACAATATGTTACCCCAAAGTAAATTAAACATTCCCCTTATAGGGGATTGGACTACAATCTATAAAGGTGGAAATATGCAGCAATTACCTACCTCAAAAAAAGAAGATATACCTTCTTCTTCATCTTCTAAAAAGATTATATCTTACAAAGAAATTACGGTCAATGACTCCCCTCAAGAACAAGTAACTGATTATTTTGAGAATCCAGTTACAGAAAAAAATATGTATATTGATGATGAGGATATAAAAATAAATTCAAATGAGGGATGGGCTATCAAAATAAGATACCTCGAATCAAGAGGATATCCAGGCCTTCATGGTAAATCAAGACCACATTTAGAAATATTACTATCAGTTACTGAATCAGCAACTTTTACTCATCATTATCAAAACAATAATCTTGAAAGTTTCATAAACTTCAACAAACGCCACATTAATAAGATCTTATCACCTAGAGAATGGGGTCTTAACCCTAATGGTGAAAAGGCAATAAGAATTGTCGAAGGAAAATATATTTATTTCAATTATTGAGACTATGTCCAAGCTTTCACCCAAGCCTTTTATTATCAAAATCCTAAGAATAAGCATTCTTGGTTTTTCTCAATTAATCTAGATGTGATTAATAGACCCATTCTAAATTGGTTTTATGCCTGGTGGATTAAATTTGGTCCTACGCTGGAAATTTTGCCAAAAGAGTTAAATGAATTATATACTCCTTGGTGCGAAAATAGTCCACTAGTATTAAATATTTCATCAAATTTGATAACTGGACAATGTCCATTTCTTTTCTTCACTAAGTTTCAAATTCCTTAGATTTGGAGATGGACTATCACTATTTCCAGCGACAAGTTTAATGTGCCAATTCTAGAAAGAAATTTTTTCTACAAATGGTAGAATAAAATGAGTTTAGAAGACATCTAGGACAAAATTGTTCTAATCAAATCAGCCATGAGTGACGATAAAAATAGCAATGTTAAAGATCAAAACTCCCAACAAATGTCTATGTGAAACCTGAAAAACTTTTTTCAAAGAAAGTATCCCAATGAAACAGAAGAAGAAATTATGGTCAGGACTTTAGATCACATGAAGACTCAATTCTTCTACACTTTCTAATCTCAAACCTCAAAAGATGATATGCAATCCATGAAGACCAGTTCATCCATGGGATCAATAGATTCCAACACCTTTGAAGGTTTAGCTGGAGAAGCTCAAAATGATGATCCCACAACTGAAGACTTTTGGGATGCTATGATTCAATCTATGGCCCAAAAGGCTAAAGAAAAGGCCAAAGCTAAAAGCTATGACAAAGGACTAAGCAATGACAAGAATTGTCCATAAGCAATAATGGCAAACACAAAGATAAGAGAGAATCTTATCTTGAAACAATAAAAGAATCTTATTGGTAATAACGCTATGACAAGAGACAAAGCAATGACAAGGATTGTCCAGAAGCAATAATTCAAAAAATAAAGATAAGAGATAATCTTATCTTGAAACAATAAAAAAGAATCTTGTCTACTTTGTTGTTTGTGAATTATTTTTGTGTCGATGGGGCCCAATGTGTACCCGACATTAATAATTCATCTTTGTTTGTTGTAACTGGCTATCATAGGTAGCTATTACCGGCTTAAATAGTAAGCCTTTGTATCCCTATACAAAGGGATTTTTATTTCCTTTGTAAGCACGCAATTTTAATACAAAATAGTTTTATATATGCCTTGCTTTCTTTCTACCTTAAAATACTTATAATTCCGATCCTGATTCCGCTGGCAATTACACTTTCTCTGGCAATTACACTTTCTGGTATCAGAGCCTGGTTCCAAAACTAAGGTATATTTCTTAATCCAACTAATAATAAATGTCATTTAGTGGCTAAATTTTTTGTTGTGGAATGTTAGATAACTTAGAAGAAACTAAGTATGTAGGTTATTCTATTGATATTAATAAATATATCTTTTTTCTGACTATTAGTGAGATAATGATCCCAATGTGTACCCGACATTAATAATTCATCTCTGTTTGTTGTAACTGACTATCATAGGTAGCTATTACTGGCTTAAATAGTAAGCCTTTGTATCCCTATATAAAGACATTTTTATTTCCTTTGTAAGCACACAATTTTAATACAAAATAGTTTTATATATGCTTTGCTTTCTTTCTACCTTAAAATATTTATAATTCCGATCCTGATTCCGCTGACAATTACACTTTCTCTGACAATTACACTTTTCTTACACTTTCTGATATATATATATATAAATTAAAATTGAAATTTATCCCTTTGTTATCTTGTATAAAGTGCACATAAACAATATTGTTCTTGAGGATTGTCTGAAATATAATTCGTTCGAATTTTGTAATCCAGACTTATTTTTTATTTTGATCAGGTATGTTTGTGGTAAAGATACTTGTTATATTTTAATTTGTCTGAATTTGAATATTTAAACTATATGTGGAAGAATAAGTTTAAATTTTCATAAAATTTGAGAGAGATAAATGAGAGGTATTAAAAAATCTCTAATCACCAAAAACAACCTACCGAATCCAACATAAATTAACATTAAGCTCTCCATTATTTATTTATAAATTTATAAATAATTTTAAATTACTTCTAAAAAACCTTTTTAGAGAATTTTAAATTACTAAAAACCATTTTAATTGTATTTCTATTTTATTTTTTGTAAATTTGTTTTTCTTATTCATAAGAAAAGGAGGAGACCAAAAGCAGCAGAGAGAGCCATAACCTAATTAGGGTTAGGGTCCTGAGAATTTTTTTGACCAAAACATGGGAAGCAAAAAGAAACCAGCGAAGAAGATAGAGCTGGAAGAAGAGGATACTGCAATTGGTTCAACATCTTCAACCGCGGCAATCAGTGACGACGATGAAGAAGCAAACAAGGATCTCAGCCTCGAGATTATCCATAAAGCGCTTCTCAATCGGGCAACAAATCCCCAAAACGCCGCCGCATTGAATGCATCGACATCAATTGCCCCTTCGAAGGCGCAAAAAGAGGAGAATAAGCTTCAAATGAAGAAGAAGAAAAAGAAAAAGCTTGAATCTGATAGTGAAGCATTGAATGTAAGTGATTTACTTTTAATTGAAAGTTTAGTTTGCATGATTTATATGCATAACCACTTATTTGATAAGCACTTATCTGAAAGTAACATTTGGGTCTGTGTTTGTGTGTTTTGAAGATTAACTCTGGGTTTTCTTATGCAGACTGTTAAAGTTGAAGAAAAAGAAAAAGTGAAGCATGCTGAAGTGGACAATGATGTTTTGAGTAAGCTGCTTTTGAGTTGTAATATTTGTTCAGAAACTTGATGTTGAAAATGCTAATGCTAACTAGTGCTGTTTTGGGTGTATTGACAGGAAACACCACTTCTAAATCGTATAGTGAGGAGATTAAGAGTCGGAAAAAGAAGAAGAAGAAAAGGCATGAATCTGAGATTCCAACTGTAAATGTTAGTTTCTATTAGACTCGTTCAATTGAAAATTTCTTGTGCGAAAGTTGATTTTCTCCCTTATATTTTCAATGTAAAATTGTGCATTCTCATTTCTCAGTCTGCAGCTTTTTTTTTCTTTCTATGTTTGGTATGTTTGGTTTAGCGTTCGATTTTAGGTGGGTTTCCACGTTTACACAGAAGCTACCTTTTGGAGCTTCTTTAAAATCACAGTAACTAAACAGACCGATTGTCCTTTTTATGGAAAACTGTTTTTACTCTCTAATACTAGTACACTAGATGGATGTGGATGAAACATACTCAAACTGCGTTTATTAAAATCTAATGATTTTAAGACAACTGGAGTTGAAATAATGGCTGTTTATCCAGAAATAGTTTAAGAAGATTTTGGGTTGTGTTTTTTGAAACAATGTATTATCTTATATTAGGCTGTTATAGTTGAAGAAGAAGAAAAGAAAGCTGTAGAGACAATTGAAGACCCAGAGAAAGGGGAGCACTGTGTAGAGACAATCAATGCACCAGAGAAAGCGGAGCATACTGAAGTGGAAACATGCATTGTTGATACGAGTGACGGTGATGTTTTGCGTAAGCTGCTTGTTAGGTGTAATATTCGTTCAGATACTTGATGTTGAAAATGCTATGCTAACTAGTACTGTTTTGGATGCATTGACAGGAAACACCACTTCCAAATTGCATAGTGACAAGAGTAAGACTCAAAAGAAGAATAAAAAGAAAAACCATGAATATGAGATTCAAACTGAAAATGTTAGTTTTTATAAGACTCGTTCAATTGAAAATTCGTTGTATATAAGTTGATTTCCCCCATCATATTTTCAATGGAAAATTTGGCGTTTTCAGTCTGCAACAACATTATTTTTTCTATGTTGTCCTTTATATGGAAAACTATTTACTTTCTTAACACTACAAGGATGTGGTTGAAATACACTCCAACGTTGAAATAATGGTTTTAACACAATTAACGTTGAAATAATGGCTGTTTATCCCGAATTAGTTAAAGAAGTTTTTTGGACTGTGGTTTTTGAAACATGTTGTCTTTTGTAGGCTGTTATAGTTGAAGAAGAAGAAGAAGAAAATAAAGCTGTAGAGACAATTGAAGACCTAGAGAAAGTGGAGCCCGGTGTAGCAGAACCAGAGGTGGTTGATACGAGCAACAACATTGTTCTGCGTAAGCTACTTGTGAGTTGAAATATTTGTTCTGAAATGTGATGTTGAAAATGCTATTGTGCTATCTCCAATACTTACTTTGGGTATATTTTTCTATTTTATCATCAGCGTGGTCCCAGGTATTTTGATCCTCCATCAGATAATGTTTGGGGAACATGCTTTAACTGCGGCGAAGAAGGCCATGTTACTTTCAAATGTACAGCAGCTAAGCGCAAGAAACCTTGCTTTATATGTGGCAGTTTGAGTCATAATGTCAAAAAGTGCACTATGGTATGTTTGATGTTGCTTCTCCTTCTCTTTTCTTTTTGCCGGAGCAACGTATACTGTAGCTACCAACTATATGCAATAGGTTTAATCGAATTTGTGTGTTTGCTCATTTTTATTGGTTGGCTGAGTCTATGGTGCAATGTCTATCTGATTTAGTGTGTTTGCTCATTTTTATTGATTGGACGAGTCTATGGTGTAAAGTTTATTTGATTGTGCTGGTGGCTAGGTGATACTGCTCCTGTTGCAATTCATGCACTGTTGGGCTGGGTTGGCTCGAGTTTGTTCCAGTGTTGTCACACTGTGGCACTGTTGTGCTACATAATAGTGGAATTTGATCTAATTGATATTGTTTTGCTATAGCACTATTGGGCTGGGTTGGCTCGAGTTTGTTCCAATGTTGTAAAAAAGTGGCGTGATAGTGTTGTAGCATAGCAGATTTTAAACTAACTGCTCTTCTAACGATTGACACTGATTTTTTTCTTTTTTTTGCATCAAACTGTCCATGAATGAAACTTGCCCATTTAAGTGGAATGAGTTACAACTGTATAATATAATTTGTCATGTTAGCCTGTCGCCTCTTAAAAGTGTTTTATAATGGTTTTTGGTTCTAGAGTTATAAATTCCTTCTATTTTCCATAGGCACGATATTGCTCTACCTGCAAGATAGTTGGTCACCGAACTAAAGACTGTCCAAAGAAGCAGTCAGGTGCTTCTTATTCTAAAAGCTTGACAGTATGCTTGAGATGTGGAAATTCTGGGCATGATATGCTTTTTTGCAAAAATGATTATCCGGAGGAAGATCTCAAGGTTTTTCTCATCCATCTCTTTCGCTTCCTTTTCCTTCTATTTTATGGGAAAGTTTCAAAAGTTTTTTTTGCTGAGTTCCCTTGGTTATTAATGGGTACATCAGATATGGGTTATGAAATGTTCGGTTGATGATTGTTTACTTGATTTCCTTTTGTTTAACTAGGAAATTTCCTTTTGTTTAATTAGGAAATACAATGCTATGTCTGTAAGGAATTCGGCCACTTATGCTGTGTCAATACTACAGAGGCTACACCAGAAGAGTTTTCTTGCTACAGATGTGGAAAAATGGGCCATGTCGGTTGGGTAAGTCTTTTAATGGTTTTTTGACCACCTTCAATGATATTTTCTTCTTTTTTTAATCTTGATGATACATTATGCATTGCTTTTTCTTTCCATTAACTTCATAATTTTGTCTACTGGGAGTAAAGCACACTGATCTGTTTTAAATTTTTATTTATTGGACACATACCTCGTTATTTAAATAAAATTGAGTATGCATGAGTATGTAGATCAATTGATGCAGGCATGTTCGAGGTTGAAAAATAGGGCCACTGATGCTTCCACGCCAAGTGCGTGCTATACATGCGGTGAACAAGGACATTTTGCCCGAGAATGCTCAAGTTCTGTAAAGGTAATTTTCAAGATCTATCTATATGGTTGTTAAAATGATTTTATCTATTTATCTTTTCTGTTATTGGGTATTTCCCTCCTTGATCTAGACCATCGTTTATGCATGCCTTTTTCTTTCCGAGGGTAAGGTTCATTTGCCTTTTTAATTTCATCTTTTCTCGTACTAAAAGTAACTTGTATTTTTTACAATTGTGTTAAATCTTCTCGTATTACAAAAAAAGTTATTAAGAAAGACCTCGAGAATTGAGATTTTAACGATTTGGATAGAAACATGGTATTGGATAGAACATTATGGCGAAAGTTGATCTATGTATCAGATCCCACTCGTGGATAAGGCTTAGTTATTGTTGTTGGTCTATGCACCAAACTATTATTTTTTTTATTGAAGGGAAAGGCAAAAAGCCAAAAAGAAAGATTACATTGGTATTAACCGGGGGACAGAGATACCCAATAAATCACCTTCAAAAAGATGATTAACAAAGGGGGAACAAACATAAAAAAAGCAAAACTCTTCCTGAAGATCAATGCCATTTTTTCTAAGGCATCTGCAGATAAATTAGCTTCTCTATGCACGTGTTTCAGACAAATTTCAATATCTTGGGAGAAGAACATTTTAATTCTGGAGATGAGACTTTTCCCAATATTGCAACTCAGCACCTTAGAGTGGATGGCCTTTCTATTTTTTACCACCAATCTCCGTTCTTACTACTATGGTTGCACCAAACTATTTTTACAAACTTTTATAACACAAATAATGTATCAATCAATGCAGGCAAGTTCAAGATGGCAACCTGAGACCACTGACCCGGCCACACCTAGTTCATGCTACAGGTGTGGTGAAGAAGGACATTTTGCCCGAGAATGCTCAAGTTCTGTTAAGGTGCTTTTTTGAATGCTATAGCAGTTTTACCATTATCTCATTATTATTGGCTTTTATGCTTTCTTTTCCGTGTAATACCTAAATCTTCCCTCAGTTTCTTCAAGTAACTGAATAAATCACTTCTTGTCTTATGCATTCACCTCCACAGGGAGGCAACAGGAAACATAAGTTCTCAAGCACAGAAACACCAAGATCTCAGAAAGAGAACGACTACATGGGATATACGTCTGAACCTTATACAGAAGAAAGTGACATCAAAACACCAAAGAAATCAAAGCACAAAGGTGGTTGGATGTCAGACCATCCTAGTGACTTCACTCCTTCCAATTCCAAAAGGGATAGTTGGAGGTCTCCAATAACACCATGTACTAATAATAGTACTCCAAATCATCTTTTTAATAATGGTAGTCACAATCTCAACTCTAAATCTTTTACAAGGAATGTTAGTGGTGGAACCCCTAATTCAGAAGGGTCAGCCCGGACTTTTCATCACGGGCACTCGGCTTCTAGGTTTGGCAACTCAAATAGTAATGGATTTCAGAGAAATTACAATGGATGGTAGCTTTCCGGAAATCTAGTCTAGATTATTAATCTATAATACCATGTGATTCTTTTTTAGTAACTCGTTTTCAAAATTTTGAACTCATTGATGTCTCCATCTCATTTATTCTTTGTAATATTATGCTGTATAATAATTACTCTAGTACTTTGAATTTGGAAGGTCACCCAGGAACTTCATTTATAGAAATGTTTGTCTCATCTTCGAAGTTAATGTGAAACGGTACTTTATCTTCCAGAACTACAATTTGAGACGTGCAGAAAGATATTATAAGTAGAACCTCTACCTAATGTTAATAGTTCTGACATATTTATATTCTTTAATTTTTCTTTTTGGTTATTTAAATGCATAAACTAATCTAATATAGTAAATTAATCTAAACTCCCTTTATGCAAATGACATTCTTATAATATTTATTTTCCTAATAAATGAAAACATGCAAAGATCTTTTTGAATCCTTTCAATATATATCATTAACGCTAATTGTTATGCTTGGATACCATAAAATGAACGCATTGGGAAGTGATTGGATAACGTAAAATGACGCATTGGGAAGTGATGGAATTAAATGGAATCAATATCACTCTTATTCCACGTTATTCCATTTGATTTAAAATCATTCAAGTAATGGAAGACCATTCTGTTTCATCTTATACCATGCGACTCCATCAATTCAAATAAAACCTAAAGGTTATCACGAGTGCTTGGGCAAGTCTTTCAATCTTCTAATACTAGGCCTTAGCCCCCTTGAACACAAGCAAGTCTTTTAATCTTCTAATACTAGGCCTTAGCCCCCTTGAACATCTGCTCACGATATAGACAAGACGTATAATTTTATATGTGTTATAATAAGATTTGGTTATGCAATTCTGAATTTTGATGATAACAACGAGTATGTTTGTATGAACAATTTTGGTACTCTAATGTTTGTTATTTTTAGTATGTAACAAACAAGTTCTGTTTCTGATGAAAGGCGTTGCCAAGTCATTAAAAGAGACCATGTTTCGCTTTTTTGCTACACAAGTTCTGATGAACAATAACAAATCAATTCAGAAGGCTCTGAAGTTTGGATTCTGATACGCGGTCAAAGAAACCAAGTTTTGAAGATCTGATGAAAGAAGTTCTGATGAACAGGCAAGATACCAAAGACTTATGTTTTTGAAGACAAAGGGTTCTGAAGACCAAGTGCTGAAGACTCTGAATACTTGAAGTTCTGATGACCCAAGTGTTATTTTCTTTCTTCTAACTCATGCTCAATCAAAAGCCTTTGAAGTCAAGAAGATAAGAAAAATAAAGTTACGTGGTACAATAATACATGGTACAAACAAACATTTTCTCCACTACCATGAAAGGACAGACGCTTCGTACGATCTTGTCTTCCACGTAGAATCAAGCTGCCAGCTTTCTGGAAATTTCAAAAATACCCTTAAACGAATATTTTATTGGCTATATATATGCTTGAAGACTAAAAGAAAATGTTGTTAATTCACACAATCTCTCACAAGACTGCTCATAAGCATTACTTTATTTTCTTAAGTCTATTTATTCTTAAAATATTATTTACTATCAACTTGTGTAGAAATAAATCTATTATAAACATATCTTTTTCAAACTGTTGTTTGATTGTGCCTTAAGGGACCAATTGGTCAGAATCTTTGAGAAGTCTAAGATTATCGTGTCTTAGAGGTTGTACGTGAGTCACTTGCAGTTAGCTTGTGCATTGTAATAATTTGTGAGATTATTTGATTAAGACCTTATTTGATAAGGCAAAATCACCTTGGCGGGTGGACTAGATTAACTTGATAATTTTCAAGTGAACTAGTATAAATATAACTTGTTCTATCCTTCTTGCATCTTTAGCTTTATTATCAAGAGTGAAGAAAAACTGTTTTCAGTTAAAGGGGACAAATTTTAAGAAAAGTTTTTGATTTAAAATTCAATTCAACACCCATTTCTTGTGTTTTTCACACCTTCAATATGTCTCTTGGACAAGCACTAAACTTATCGCCCGATCAGTAATTGACATATAGAGATATAAAGGTGAATTTATTATTGGACGTGTCAAGATGTCCGATGACGTTAAAAAGGCCTTTAAATTTAGAAACGCCTATTCGCATTCGTTCGTCCATTCAAATTTCTACTGTATCTTTAGACTGACAAAGAAATGGAAGACTCTGTCACCCACACAAGAAAGGAAACAGGATAGGATGGAAAAACACTATGTTAGTTGCTGAACTTTTTTAACATTCGAAGGGTTCTTTATGTTGATAGTAGCCTAACACTTATTCGAGTTCTCCTTTATACATATCTTAAATAACATAAAACCAAGAAATTTTCCCCCTTGTACTTCAAATGAGCACTTGGCGGAATTCAGAAGCATGTCGTAATTCCTAATTGACTCAGATATATTCCCTTCTAAGTCTGATGCGAGGCTTTTATCTTCTATGGTCTTCACTATCATGTCATCAATATAGACTTATAGGTTGCACTCTATCTGTTTTAAGAACACCGCATCCATGAGTTTCTGATAGGTGACACATGCATTTTTTTTAGCTCAAATGAGCATAAAATTGAGATAATAGTTGTCATGATTGGACATGAATGTTGTATTAGGAATTCCTAAGAGATCCATTTTGATCTAGTCAAAATAAGCGTCCATGAAATTCAATGTTTTGTAGCATGAGGATCTGTCAGTCAGACGATCTATGTTGGATAGAGGATATGGGTCTTTGGGGCATATGGCGTTAAGGTCAGTGAAGTCAATCCACATGCACCATTTATTTAATGAATTCTTGACCAAAACTATGTTAGCCAGTAAAGATCTGTATTTTACCTTAGTGATGATGTCGTTTTTGTTAGTTCTGTGTTTTTATGGTTGACTAACTTTTGGCTAAGCATGTTTATGAACATGGTTCTATGTTGCTGTTGAGTAAGATGTTGCACCACCTTTATCAACTATCATAACAATTTTACTGTTTTGTGTTTTTCAGTCAGATGTCGAAGACAAATGTCATGACATCTTTATCTGGTACTACAGTACATCAGACAATGTTGTTTTAAATCTTGGCATATTTGATTTGATTATGGAATAGTTCTTTTAGATATGTTTCATTAAATTTTGCAGGCCAAGAAGATTTTATCTGGAACAAGATTTTATATCTCCAGTTGTGCATTGGTTACTAAATTGGGCCTTGAGACAATTTAGGAAACTTTATATTGTTTGTTCCAAGATTTAAGGAGATTTTGTTGCACAACAGATACAACTCTCAACTTGTGGACCAAGAAATGTCTGATGGAGATTTTGAAGCCCATGGATTGGAAACGTGTATTTAAAGAGAAGATCTAAGCTAATATAATTTAAGTTTTTCAACAATTATAAAATTAGGGAAATCATAAGTCTTAGGTTTTGAGAGTCTCTTGTGTATTGTATGGTGTAAGTGACCCTTGTATCTTTTGATACTTGTGGTCGACATTATATTCTCCTCGATGATGTGAAGCAAGAATGAGTATTGTTCTTGAATGAAGCTTTTAAGAAAATTCCAGTATTGTTCTTGGTCAAGAGTCTTGGCTAAGTATTGTAATAAAAGTATGATCTTCTCGTTCAGTTAGACTCAATACACTCACTGGGGTTGAGACTGTTAGATATCATTGAGGTGATTTAGGAAGTGAAATGGTGATTTCTCATATTTAGGGAGGACCTAGGTTGAAGTTGCATTGGATAGGGATTAAGCGAGAAGTTGTAAACAAGGGAGTTTAACTTTAAACTAATATTGTTGATAGTGGACTTCCTTCTTGACTTGGTAGCCCCGGGATGTAAGTGAGTTTACACCGTATAGAGTTAACAACTCTACATGTTATTTATCATTCTGCAGTTTAAGTTTTAGTATTTTGTGATAACTTGATGAATCTGTTCAGGATGTCAAATCAGATGTTGTATCATCTGTCTTTACATTGTTCTGATGTTAAAAATCAGTATTACCATGTGTTGTTTGTACCAGAGAAATTTCAATTGGTATCAGAGCAGGCACATTGATCTATTGGGTGAGTTTCAGGGAGTATTTTTTTTGGTACTAGTGTCCTTCTGGAAGACTGGAATAATTGTATTTTGATTATTAATGGATAGTAATTTTTGAAGAATTATCAGGATATGAGAATCATGGTTCTAAAGAGACTGAAGAGTAAAGCATGAGTTGTCTTTATGCAACTTTGAAGTCGTCAATGTCATAATCAATGGAATTGATAAGTCTCTTTTTCAGACTCATTAACGTTTGTGGCCACAGATACTTGGGATATTCTCAAGTTCACTCATAAAGGCATCATAGTGTTTTTTCCCATATAAAAGACTGATCAAGAAGAAGATACTCAGGTCTATATTCAAGAGATTTGACATAGAAGTTACAATCATTGAAGACAAACCAGAGCATGAATTTTGTTTCCAACTCTGTAGAAGCTCGTTTCAGTTTTCTGATGATTGATTTCTTACTACTTTTGTGTTCCTTGGAAGGAAATCCAATCAGGAGTTGAAGAAATTTGACAGTATATCATGACCTCATGTTATAACATATGTGTTGACTTCAACAGGTCTGTGATGCTAAAAGAAATGTTTGAATTGGTGTATTGATCAATGTCTAAGCATTCATTGGAGTGTGAAGACCTTGGATCTTTGTGGAGCAAAATGCCTTGCTTATCTCAAGAGTAAATGTATGAGTTTTCTATATCTGATTTGACTAGAAGATGGACTTCTAATGAAGATTTATGACGAAGAGGTTCCTCAAGTGGAAAGTTTGTTGGAAGGTTTTGGGTTTTCAAGCTATGTTTGGAAAAGGGAAAACTCAAAGTGACAAAATGTTGTTTTATCAAAATGAAAGTTGAGTCAAGGATGTCATAACATTGTGCTGAACATCAGCTTACTCATGTTACAGGCGTATACTTGCACTGAAGACATCTCTTCTGTGATGAGATGATTTTAACATTTTTGGTTATTTTCTCAAAGGTTAAGTCCGGTTTTGTTTAATCAAGCAGTGGTTAATACTCAGGGAAGGTGATAATTACCTTATCTCTCATATCTTTCTTAGGTCTCCAACTAAGGTGATTGGTATTTTGACACTAACTGTTTCAGACGCTTAACTGCAGTAAAAGTGTTCCTGGTGGTTTATTTAAGACTCATTCTAATCAATGTTACTTTGTTGATGATGTTAAAAGGATGTTTTAAGGGCATTGGATAACCACAAGAATTCATGATGGATTCTCTAAGTTTTGGTAATTGGTTTTCTTCTTACTCAAGGACTGACGACTATTGTAATAAACACAAGTCAGTTGTGTGATCAAGGTCTAAAGGTATATGTCATCAATGATGAATTGTCTATCACTAATGAGGTGTATGAAGTTCCTCTGAAGATTTAAGCACAATTGCTATTTGTGAATTTCACAAGTATTTAGTTGTTTATCCTGTTATTTGGTGTTCAAGATAGAATAAGTCAAGATGTCACACTAGAAGGTGCAATAATAAACAGTTGCAAAAGCTCTAGAACATGTTATATGGATTTGGTTGGTTCAACTACTACAGAAAAAAAGGGGATTTGAGGCAGTTTTTTATGGGAGTTACGATGGTTTTAACCGACTTAATATACAAATTGTGACGGTTCCACAAGAGTCCCAAAAACGTGTGTTGTGAGCCCTTTTTGCGACAATTGAGAAAACAGTCATCCAAACCGTCATAGATAATCGCGACGGTTCTAAACCATCTTTAAAGTAAAATAACGATATTTTCTTACCGTTATGGATTTAATTTGATGTTTCATTTTCTAAGCTGATAGCGGAAGTTTTAAAACTACTGTAGAGATTTATAACCCCCGCTAAATTAATTAATTTAAAAATAAAATAAAATATCTAATGCAACATTACTATGAGAATATATATATATATATATATATATATATATATATATATATATATATATATATATATATATATATATATATATATATATATATATATATATATATATATATATATATATATATATATATATATATATATATATATATATATATATGACATAATTTTAAAAACCACAAAAATAATCCAATGGGGGGATACATTACTAATTTACTGTATATATAATGTGTATATGTATCATCACCGGAACCGGGTAGAGAATTGATAGTTAAAATGGTTGGAGATAATACATGAAACTAGCTAGTAGTAGTATCAAACAGCCCAAACCCAATGATGACCCTGCCTCATAGAATCAAGTTCTTTTTACACTATCACCAGCCATGGAAAGACATCCTTCGTTTGCAAGAGTGGAAACTGCATTCCTTAGTTGTATTCAACATTAATTAGCTTATTAGTTCATTTATCCTTAGGAATCGAGCACACATAAACACTCGTAATGATAAATTATTTGACATGGAAAGGGGCTTACATCATTAAGATGAATTTCATTGCCAGGGCTCTGATTCTTCAATTCTTCCAATATCTGCATGATCATTTTAAATAATATTAGATCATTGTCTTGTCTCAAACTGAACATAAACTATACTGAATGGTTTTATAGACCAAGGTAATACCTCCAATAAATGCATGGATCGTCCCTCAATTTGCATTTTCTCCATGATTAGGTTGCGAGTGTCTTGAATCAAACTTTTTCGTCTGATCCTTTCACTTGCCGAAACATCACTGGTAATAAGATCCTTGTCAATGTTCCTGTGAAGAAAAGAACCTGCCTCGGAGTTGTTGTTATTACCTGTTTAATTAATACGCAAGATCAATAAATGCAGCAGAGGAACATGAACAAAAATATGAAAAACAACATAGTTTCAATATCAAGAAGTGTCTTATTTGTATCACCTTTTTGCTACTGCCAGTAAATTTTCCCCTACCCCTGATTTTTACGAAGTCGGTAATCAATTCATCATCAGCTTCATCTGACAGTTGTGGATGTATACGCTTTCGGGCATAGCTAACGTAATCAGTTAGTGTAGAAATATCCAACACATCCTGCTCCATGGTTTGCAAGTATGGCCACATAACATCCAAGTGAGTATACAAAAGAAATCCTGTTTGGGTCTTTAATGAGTATGATTGCAATCAAATCTCGTGATCCTTAAAGTGTAGGGAAACAATATGTTTGTTTGGCAAATCGTCTGTCAGGTTGCTTTGGGATTTATTGATCTTTTCTTAAAGTCTAGTACAACTCCTTGTATGCCATTTGTGCCCTAAATTAAAAAACAATGGAGACGGCTAAATATCGCCAAGGATATTTATTATGAGTTTCATGAAATATTGAATGACACGTAGAGAAACAAACATGTCAAAACTCCAAGAAGTCCAACTACTAGGCAGCCACATGCATGAAAGTTAAAAGAAATTAGTCGAACTAGCATGTATCCTTGACAAAAGCCAAACACGAGAGGTAAGTAATAAGGGTAGAAATTTCTACCTACCACTACCAAGAGTAGAAATAGAGAGTATGCATTACCTCTGAGATTTTCAAGGAGTCATTTAGTTCTTGGGACTTATGTGATTGTCTCATCAGCATGAATATTTTTTGTTAGTTCTCTATTTTTAGAATTGACATTAATTTTAGTAAAATAAATATAGCAACAATATGTTAATTATGATGTATTAACTTGCTAAAAAGAACAGGTTGAATAAGAAGTCCTAATTTATGTTGAGATATGTTGAGATGAGAATTTCTCATCATCTGGAACAACGTGTCAGATAAGATGTCCTATGCATATAAAATAGTTTGATAATATTGTGTTATCTTATGAGACGTTGTTTTAAAGGTCTGAAGATTAAAGTCAGAATCAAGAAGAATATGCACTTTCTAATTATGGAGATAATTTAGAAATATTATGATTGAAGACCTATTTTGTAGTAGAAATTTCTGCTGATTTGTAGCAGCTGATATGCTATGATTTGAAGATCAAATCTGGTTGGGAAAAAGTTATAAATAGAAGCGTTATAACCTAGAAGAATGTACCAGTCGTGAATGAAAAGATGTAGTTATTAGGGTTGAGTCTGTAAGCCACTCTCTAGAAGAGTTGGTATATATGATCCACTCGACATGTGAGTTGGACTGTGTTATAGAGTTGTAATCTCCGTGTTTGTTCTCCTTGAAACTGTGATGCAAGAGTGAGTATTGTTCTTTAAGGAAGCTTTTAAGCAACTCTAAGTATTGTTCTTAGTCAAAAGTCTTGGCTAGGTATTATCATGGAAGTGTGTCGTCTAGCTTTATCGTCATGGAAGTGTGTTTTCAGTTATTGTCCAATCGCTGTCTGTGATTGATGAGAGAGTTAAGGAGGGCCTCATACCTAGGTAAGTCTTAGGTAGAAAGTTATCACAGGTAGTGATTAAGCGAGAAGTTGTAAATGAGAGAGTTTAGCTTCGAATTAATACTATTATAGTGGACTTTATCCATGGTTTGGTATGCCCCCCTGAGTAGGAGAGTTACTCCAAATTAGGTTAAAAATTTTGGTGTGTTGTTTACTTTTAAGTACTGCTTTTGTAGGTTTATACCTTATCATTGTTGTTTGTTCGGATTCAGATGTCTCGATATGTCATAGAACATCTGAATTTTGATATACCAAAATTTTAATTGGTATATGAGCAGGCATCTTGTTCTGTTTCTGGCTGAGATCATGGAAAGATACTTTTTGGTCATGGGCAAGAAAGGAAGTTGTTACTGAAAACTTGTCTGAACTTGGATAATTCATATTGTTGTTTGAATGGTCCCTTGAAATGAAGGATGGACTATTCGTGACATGATGCATATTGACCATGTTTGATGTTGTCAGTCGTGTAGCTTTGGTGGTGAGCTGTGTAACGCCCGTAATTTAATTAATTATTTAATTAAATTATTTTTGGATTTATTTGTGAAGAAGTGTTATAATTGGATTAATTTTATTAAATGGAGAAATAATAATATATTTGAGGCATTATATTATTATGTGAAATAATGTTAGAAGCTAATATTATTAAGATGGGCTTAATTTGAGATAGTAGATATATTAAGGGGTGTAAGTTTGGAGCCCACTAAGGGAATAATAGAATAATTAGGTTATTTTATTATTTGTTGTTAGAATAGAAGGAAGCAGTAAGAAGAGAAATAAGGATTGAGAAAGAGCACGTGAAGCTGCTGGAAAATAGAAGGAGACGACAAGAATAAAGATTCAACCCGAAATTGTAGAGCGACCTTCGATCCAAGGTAAGGGTAGGGTTCTGGCTTTATAATTAAGTTCATGATATTTGATATGGGGTTAGATGTGATTGCTGTTTTTGTTATTGAATTGAATGATGTATGGTGTATATTGATGAATTCTCGATGGATAAATGATGTTATGATGTTGTGTAATCGATGTTGTATTATAAGTTAATGTTAAGTGATGAGTTATCATGGTTATGATAAGGTTTTTAGGACTGTAGTATGATTCCCGTAGCAAAATACAGTAGAAAACACAGAAAATTATGTAAAAAATCGCAGGATACATCGACCTCAAACTGGATGAGTCGATGCAAGGAGGCTGTTGGACTCAGGATGAGTCGATGCATGCAGGGCTTGCGTCGATACATGTTCGTTACAGGACTCAGGATGAGTCGATCAGTAAGTGCATGTGTCGATACATGCTGTATTGAAAACAGGATGAGTCGATCCATAAGGAGGATGCGTCGACTCATAATATGCAGGAGAAGCAGGATGTGTTGATCCAAGAAGTTTCGTGTCGATACATAATGTCTGGTTTTTGACAGAATTGACTTCTAATTGTTGTAACTTGAGTTGTAGGATGTTGTTTAAGATGTCGTTCGAAGCGTTGATTAGCTAACGTGATGAGCTTTATTCAGATGATTAAAATGATGAATAAGAAGTGTAATCCTAGTAACTAATTTAGGGTTTAGAATTAATTCCCGTAGATGACCGTTGTGCTGTTTTTTTGGACAGGATGATGAATTTTGAGATGTTAGAGACTACTGTTAGAATATGACAGTAGGATTAATGACAAAAACGAAGTAGAACTGCAGAATAATAGTATGGCTTACTGTAGTATTGATATACAATTGAATATTAGTGAGATGTTATTAATAAAGTTGTGTGTGATAATTTATGATGAACAAATGATGTTTGATGAATAAGTAATGTTTAATAAATTATTTTTGAGATGTTTAGGAGATGATGTAATTGAGATGACTGAAATGTTGTCGTTTTGAGATGATTGAGATGTTGTTGTTTGAGATGACTGAAATGTTGTCGTTTTGAGATAATTGAGATGTTGTTGTTTGAGATGACTAAAATGTTGTCGTTTTGAGATGATTGAGATGTTGTTGTTTTGAGATGTGTTTTGAGATGTTGTTAACTGAGTGTGTTATTACATTCATGATGAGTCGCATACATTGCATTTTTTTGAGATGGCCTGGATTGACAAATTTTGAGATGGGAGTTCTGCTCCAAAGGCTATGCCTTATTTGATGCCTCTATTAATTGGCAGATTAGATTTTTGAGATGGGAGTTATGCTCCAATGGTACTACATGCATTTGCATAGTTTTGAGTCGCATTTTATGATTGAATAATAAAGTGTGTTTGATGTTGATGAATGAGTATATATGCTGTAATTGTTGTTGATTATAAGATGAGAAGTGGTGATATGATTGATCTAATTTAATATAATAATTATCATGTGCTTTATTATATTGTTAGATATCTCACCCCTTATGTTTGAATGTTGCCCCTATGTTGGTAACGTGCAGGTAATCGCGAGTGAAGGATGTATACCTTCAATAGATCAAGTTGGTGTCATTGCTCTGATATGTAACACTTGGGGGGATGAACACTTGCTGATTTTTGTCCTTGCTGATTTTTAGTTGTTGAACTTTAAATTGTTTATTTACTAAATGTGAGATGTTTCGAAGTTGCTGTTTTATTTATAGATGTTAATGAAGAATTCCACTGCGTAGTTGTTGAATATTTAATGAAAGATGTTGTGTTGTTAGTTCATCCGATGTTTTGAAAAAGTGTTATATATCCATGTTGAATGCAATGAATTTGTTAGAAGAATTTGTGACCTCTCGATTCATTTGTATGATTGAAATTTTATAACTCTGATTTATTTTGCATAAATTGCTTGGGGTAGAATTCGGGTGTTACAAAGTTGGTATCAGAGCAAAAGGTTGGTCCGACCTTGTCGTCGAGTCGTAGTTGTCTAACAATCGAGTATTGTTATTTTGATGTTCTAACAGTTGTTTGTGTTGTAGTGAGAAGTTGTGATGGCTAGAAGGAATGATGCTTCTCTTGCTGCTGCTCTGCAAGCAATGGCTCATGCGATGGAAAATCAGCCGAATGCTGACGGGAATGCTGGATCTCGTAGCCGGTGCCATAGAAGGCAAGGTTGCGAGAGCAGCACCGTAGTTTAGACCAATGGCAAGTGAAGTAACCAGCCCTCTAAAATAAAATGGTTTTCCACCTCTAGCACAAATAGAGTGGATGTGAGCAAGTAGGAACGAGGCGGCATTGATCTTTTGCCCAGAGAACGCGTAATGTAAAAAGAAGAGCTCCTTGGAGTTGAGCTTATGGTTGCTGTCGCGGGCGAAGATCATGTTGCTAAGGATGCGATGGAAGTAGCGGATGGCCGGATTGTGAATGTGATAACATCAGGACCAAAAGGGAACCCAAGCAGCTGACTAAACTCCCATAGGTTATAAGTGTAATCCATGTTAAACATCCTGAATGTGATCAACCCACGGTTGAATCCCATCCCATGATTTGGAATGAAGCTCAGGGTGCTTAGGAACTCAAGAGTCAGCTTTTTGTAGGTACAGAACCGTCTTTGGATAGGAGCAGTGTCCCAGCCAATCTGATGCAGCAAGTACATGACACTCTCACGAATGCCAAGGGCGGTCATAGCATGATCATTTGCGTAGATAGTAGGGCACATCTCCCGTTCACCCAGGTCCGCAAATCGTCTTCGTTGGTGTCTGCTTCTCAATTTGACATTCATGAAGTTGACACAATCCATAGCGCTAAATATGAAAG